GCTTTTAATGAAATCTTGTAAGAACTGCTGCTCAGGATTATTAGTAATGAGTTGGATATCACCTCTCAGGGCTGACTGGACTGATGAGACTTTAGCATACAAACCACAACTTAATAACTGGGAGTGATCATTTAATACCTAAGGGAGGGAGAGAGGGGGGGAGAGGGAGAAAGAGGGAAGGAGAGAGAAAGAGAAAGGAGGAAGGGGAAAGAAAAAGGGAAGGGTAGAAGAGAAAGAAAAAGAGGAGTAAGAAAGGGAGAGTATAAAAAGATGAAGGTTAAAAGACGAGAGAGAGTACTAACTTCTTGAGCAGCTGCCTGGACTATCCTCATATCAGCTTTCTCAGAGTCATTAGGATCAGCACTAACTGGCAACTCATCTGAAAGAAGAGAGTAAAATTGTAAGAACAATTAAGAGGAAAGGAGAGACAAAATGATATACTTATGGTGACACAGTATCAATCGGTGATTTTGTAGAAAAACTACCAAGAGCCTAAATTATTATGTTACGTACTCTTGATAAAACTAGAAATTACATTTCATTCAGAGACACATGGCTTCAAAATTACCAATATAACAACCACATTTGCGGATCCACCAATTACTAATATTGTCAATAATTCCCACGCACTATTAGTCTATTACTAATACTCTTAATGTCACTTACCAATGTAAGGAAGGTTCAAGTCCTCAGAGAGGAGTGATCCAGCACACACAGCACCCAGCGTGACCAGCTCCTTCTCCAACAATGACAAACACTACAAACAAAATAATAATAATATTAATAAAAGTACATTTAATAATCAAAAATGTTTGAGTAACATTAAGTGTATCATATACAACACATGCTACAAGTATAATCGTAATTTGTAAAGGTACAATGTGTATGTACAGGCATATTGTTACAATATTTGGTGATAAAAAAGTTTGTTTACATGTACAAAAGCTAAGATTTTTGTGATATTCTGATTTTCTAATTTCTACTTTCTTTTTGGCCACAAAACTGCTAATCTGCAATTAAATTAATTTTCTTAAAATCATAAAATTTGCAAACAAATTGGCACTACAAATATTTTTCTTGCTGTGCAGTATTCATTAAAAATTTACATGTACATGTAATACAAAATATGTTTCTTGTACAAGTATATCACACTATATGTACATGTTACATGTACATATAGTGTATATTATCCAGTTATTGTACCTGGTCTGGGTTGGGTGACCACTCATATCCAATGACTTTACACTTGATCCCGTAATGATTGGACTTATCTCTTTTCTCATATTCAGTCTCAGTGTTAACAACAATATGGACCTCATTACCTAATTAATAACCATTAATAACTGTTAATAATCACTAATAACAATTAATAATCATTAATAACTACTAATAGCCTGATACATGTATATTTTTGGCATTTTCTTAAAATGGCCGTAACTTGAAAAATTGAAGTTGGAATCAGCTCAAACTTTCTACACAGCATAAGGGCATCAATATGTATCAGAAAATGTAATAAAAATTTGAGGTGATTTCGGAGCCATTTTTTGAAAAAACCACGGGCTATAGCCTTGGGTATTTTTCAGAATTTTGGCGTTTTCTTAAAATGGCCGTAACTTGAAAAATTGAAGTTGGAATCAGCTCAAACTTTCTACACAGCATAAGGGCATCAATATGTATCAGAAAATGTAATAAAAATTTGAGGTGATTTCGGAGCCATTTTTTGAAAAAACCATGGGCTATAGCCTTGGGTATTTTTCAGAATTTTGGCGTTTTCTTAAAATGGCCGTAACTTGAAAAATTGAAGTTGGAATCAGCTCAAACTTTCTACACAGCATAAGGGCATCAATATGTATCAGAAAATGTAATAAAAATTTGAGGTGATTTCGGAGCCATTTTTTGAAAAAACCATGGGCTATAGCCTTGGGTATTTTTCAGAATTTTGGCGTTTTCTTAAAATGGCCGTAACTTGAAAAATTGAAGTTGGAATCAGCTCAAACTTTCTACACAGCATAAGGGCATCAATATGTATCAGAAAATGTAATAAAAATTTGGG